CGGAAGTTGGTTGAATTCATGGATACAGAAGGGCTGACTTGTCTGTGTCAGATGGAGGAAGTGAATTCAGAGTGAAATGACAAGTTAGATGAGAGGAAGGTGATGTGCTACATCAATAGAAGTCCGGCATGGGGGATATAGCTTAGTGGTAGAGCACTTGCCTGGCGTGTGTAAAGCCTGTGTTCAATCCACAATACCGAGCACACACACACACACACACACACACACACACACACACACACAAATAGAAATTACCAGCAGGTAGATACTTGCCTAGTAAGTCACAGCAGCTAGAGCTGAGGACAAATCTCAACTGTGTACTATAGCTGTGCCCACGAGAGAGAGACGGTACCCCTAGAGGAACATTTGCTACAGTCCCCATCTGAAAGTGACCTACACTGCCAGCCAGAACATGCACTGTAGTGCCTGCACTTAATGACTGGGAATGCAGGAGTGAAAAACAGCTAACTAAAGCTACACACAACTGCCTGGATAAATCTCGCACAAAGCAAGCAGAATAAAGGCCAGTCACAGAAGACTCCTTGCAAGATGGTCCTTAATAACCTTCAGAGCTAGACACAATTCAATCATTGTGAAGGGTCTGCAAGAGTAGGTCACTAACAAAAAGCCTGAAAACCACCGTCTCAATAGTCAGAACAGCTGGTGCCTCCGGGAAACAAGGGGAGGGGTTTGTATTCTGGGAGAGGCCTGGGGAGAACTGGCACCCCATGTTTCTTGCCTTGCATGGATGACTGTGCATTAGTGACAGAATCTATTCACTCTACAGGCATCCTTTAAACTGTGTCTAGAGGTTCTGGTTCTATGATTGTTATCTCTTAATTTTAAAAATTCAAAGGTGAATGAAATCAACAGAGAACCATTCAAAGTTAGAATGACAGCCTCAGAGACATAGCTCCTTAGTTTTACAGATGGGGAGAGGAGCCCAGAAAGTTTAGAAGGCTAACCCAAGGTCACAGACCATTCTGTAATTGAATTAGGATCAGAATGATAGAACTCCTAACCTTGTGGCAAGGTCTTTTCTTCCAGCAGGGAGGAATAGAGCTTTTGTACCCCAGAATCCCCTTCCTTTATAATAAAGGGAAAGAGAGTGAATCCGCATAATAGAAGAGGCACATAAATGCTGGGAATACTAAATATTTTTCAAATGGAAGTTGGCAAAGATTTAAATATGCCCCCACCTCAGAATGATAATATTATTACTTCCTCCAAAAGCTACATATCTCCAACAACTTGAGTCTAGACTCAGATTCCCTCTGATTGTCAAATGCATGGGAACCAGAGGCTTGACGGGGGGGATGGGCCTGGAGCTGAAGGACCAGGAGCCAGGAAGTCTGCAAATATATTGACTTACCCACCTGGCCTAGGTGAAGCCCCTGGCCCTGGGACAGTCAGGAAAGGAACCTCGCTATCTCTCTGAGAGCTTTTTTGTTTTGTTTAGAGGTCAATTACTTCCCATTTCGGGGACTTGTGAACATTAAGAGGTGACTGGAGTGACGGGCCTGAACGGTGCTGATAAGACTGGGATTGGTCCCCTCCCCCAGTAAAAGCCCTGTGAGGCTTAGCAGTTGTTGGTGAGGGACACACAAAAGGGGGCAGCTTTCAGGGTGAGGAGAGATTACAGGAGAGGAAGACCGGCAGC